AGAAACCGCACCTTTGTTTGGCATTAATTACATTTTAGTAATTGTTACCTTACAAAAGTGTGAGCTTAAATGGATTCCAGAGGATGGTAGAGGACAGGAAGGCCTGGGGGAACATTGTGCATGGGGTTGCGATGGGTCGGACATGACTTCACAGCTAACAACACCACCTTATAAATAACTATCAAGTTGTCTCCATTAAAATTAACTCATGTATGTATCTGAATGTATATATGTACCCATATGTGCATAACCTGAAATTACTGAAGCATACTGCACCATGCTGTTAATTTTACATAGCACATCCTGTTGTAATTTACTTCCATCCAATTGTTCTACAGCCAATGCAAGTGCTGGATGGGTTTGTAGCAAACTATGAATGCTACCAGGTTAAATAGATCCCTGTTATAGATTCACAAGAATAAGGCATATCTGCATACGAGTCAAATTCCATACTACTTCATGGGATGGCTGTTCCAGTGGATTAGTCGTTTTTGGATGTGAATGTGGAAGGTGAAAGTCGTTAATACCCCTTCAAATATTAAATGGTTTCAAGCAACAATTAGGAAAGGACAGGTGAAAACAAGGATTGGGGCGAGTCAGGCAAAAAAACCCAAAAGTTCAGTCTCAAAAAAGGAACTTCTAGCCACCTTTAAATCCGCTTAATGCATACATCAATAAATCTACATCTACAAGAGCTTCTGCTTGGATTCCCAATTTGAAAACATCGGACATCATCTGCACAACAACGACAAACAGGAAACCCAGCTAGTCTTTTCGTATTACCTTCCACGGCCGGCCAAGACGCAGGTCTTGAAAGTCCCGCCCGTAGATGGACTCCAGCACCTGCAACTCGTTCTCTTGGCGAAGCTGGTAGCTCTCCGGTTGCTCCGCGGTCACTTCGGCCGTCTCGGCTTGCGGCTGCAAGACTCCGTTCGAATGGGCCATCTCAGCGCCAGCTATTAGAGCCCGGCGGGCCGAAGGCCTGGCCCTTGCCTAGTCGCCAGGGTGGTGGGCGGGACCACGCCGCTCTTCCGCCTTGCTTGCAGGCCCCGCTGAAGGCCGGTGCTGCCCCTTGCGACGGCGGGGAAACGGGACCCAGAGAGTGGAGTTGGCGCTGCTTGCGGATGAAGCTTCTGTCCGCGGGCTTTCCAAGCCGTCCCTCAGTCACAAAGAAAAGGCAAGGCTGATATATATATATCTCTTTAGTTTAATCCTCCCTACAGAGGCTGCCTGGCCTGCGCTTTCCAGATGTTCTTCTTCCTAAATGAAGTTCAAGCTGTTTTCTAGTTTGAGTGGTTTGGTTGTGGAGAGAGGATGCAAAGGCTTGTGGATTTCATGAAGCCAGGTTGGGTCCCACCAGGCACTTTTTCTCCATTTGCTTTCTCTAGTGGCAGCTGCTGCCTTCAATTAACAGCTTAGGCTCCCAGCTGTAGGCGCCTGCCTTCTGGGATGTGTCTTGGCAAGCAGAAGAGAGACAGAACTTATTAAGCCAAAATGAAATCTATCCACAGTGGTTTTGTAAACCACCATTTATTGTCCTCCCATTGGGAGACCATGTATCTTACTAAACTATAGTCAATCAAGCTGGGGGTTTGAACTATGCTTGTATGAAAATTCCGTTTGCATATAGGCAAGGTGTATCAATGGCTCAGAGTACCTTTTATCAAGTTAAGATGGCATGCCATCTACAATCCAAATTAGAGAAGGCGGTTTTTGGTTCAATTATTCATAGACATGTAGTTACACAGATGCTTGAAACTTGCAATACTGATGTGTATTATTTTTATTGCTTGACTGCGTTATTCTACTTTAACAGAACTCCAAAATGTATCCTTATCTATCGCACCTATTCTCATTAAAGTGATTCAGAAAATGAAACACTGAAGCAGCAATAATAGCAATAGCATTTTGACTTATATGCTGTCCCATAATGCTTTTCAAAACTACAGAAATGGGTTTTGATGTTTATTTGCAATTTCCCTATGTTTGCCAGATTTAGTTACTTTTTCCATATCTCATAACTTAAATATTTTAATACTTTGCTTTGGCCAAAGTCTATGAAATTAAAATTGTTTTCAAATGTTAAAAACATCTAGACAATAAAATGCATTATAAAGCATATATTAATATAATAAAACAGGTAACAAAAAAGCAGTAGGAGACAAATAGTTGCAGCTATTGAGGAGCATGGATGAACTGTTTTGTTAGCAATTCTTTTTCTCTCCTTTTGGTGCCCTTGAATCGCCTAGACAAGTCTTCAGGTTTTTTGGTATGATTTTGGAAATGATTGACAGAATGACTGGCCTAATGTCACCCAGTTGGCATCATACCTAAGGCAGGACCAGAACTCAGTCTCCCAATTTCTAGCCTGATGCCTTAACTCAGTGGTCCCCAACCTTTCTGGTTTAGTATCCTGTTGCGTGGGTGGGTGGGTGGGATAGGGGATGGTCAGAAATGGTGTAGGGTCACCTGCTTGGGAGGGGAGTTGGACTACCGGTAGATGATCAACAAGCTCCCTTCCAACTCTGTTAATTTGTTAAATCTGCTAAACAGGGTAAACAAGAATTTGTCTCAGAGTTTAAGAAAGTTGCTAATAGGACTATCAAAAGCTTGTGTAGATACCTACAGTATTTACGTCAACCCTAAATTCTCTAGACATATACCATATTCATTGTACTTCACATAAAACATTTTAGTTCACACTATCCCCAAACAATGCACAAACTCCATTGTTTCTGAAGAACTGCTGATAATTGATGAAATATAAGTAATTTGTGCAATTATGTATAGAACCTGATGTTACATTATTTGAATTAATTGGTTATGCTACATTATTTGAATATTTGCCAGTATTCAATGAATGCAACTCGAGCTCATCCATGCAAGCTAGCCTCTTTATTAAAATATTATCTTGCAAGCTGATATATTGTTGTCCAAATCCCACCAACTCAAAAGGTTTACTCAGTATACTGAAATACTTTCTCAATACCAATTGGTTTGGAAATAGGTGAAGAAGGCAACAGGGACCCTCCAGGATAATGAATTAAAGTGAAAATAAAGGGGCTAAAATGATTTGGGGTGAAACTAAAATAAAGGAATTATGGAAGGAGCATATATTTAAACTTAAGCTATAGAAGAAAGCCAGGTAGAACAACCAACTTTGGAGTGGTCAATGAAGAAGGGGTATATAGCTTCCGCCTTTGAGATCAACCATCAACAATAAAGGAATAAGCAATAAAAAAACCCTGCCACAGACTAGGTTAAACTAGCATCAAAGGACTTGAGAAAAATATTCAGATTCTGTGATTTGTCTACACCTACAAAAATCAGAATTGTGCAAGCTGCTATATTCTCTGTGAAATTTTGGGAAAGTGAAAGTTGGAGTCTAAGGGAGCATATTCACATTTAGTGTTATGGGATGTTTAGCAAATTGTCCATTTTTCTGATTTAAATGGGTAGGATGATTTCTCTGATCAACTTTTTCTCTATACTTTTCTTGTTATGCCAAGTATAAAAGGGAACTCAGAATTTCTTTTCTGAGTTCCTTCTTTGAAGAGAGACCCTCTTTAGTGAAGCGCTTCAATACATTGTATAAATGATCTTCCAAATTATTGGAGAGTGAGCAGCAGAATCTAGTGCCAATTTGGCCTTTACTAACATTTTACATATAAGTTTTAAAAGAAATTTGCAAACGTTGGGATACTCACTGAGAGTCAATGGCACCTACATTTAATAAATAAATAACTTAATAGACAAAATACTTTCAAAAGAGGTATTTTATATGTGTATTACAAATGGGAGGTCAGAAAAATTTAAACTATTGCAAATGTGGGAAATAAAGTTGTATTGTTTTTAGAGAATTGTAAGAAGACATGTTGGCCTGTGAACAAAATACATTGATTGTATGTTTCTAATTTCATGAGCTAGGCTTAAGTTTGAGAATTGTACGCAAGAGCTAGGATTAGAGGCCTTTGCTATGCTAGAAACCAGCCATAACCAGAATTTACTGATCTGATACTTACTCTAAAGGCAACACCTAGGAACTAGGACCATAAAAGGAAATTTGTAAATCAGGGAGAGGTAGAATTAGAGTAGTGGGAGATGTCATCAGAGGCAGAGATAATGTATTTATTTTAGACACTTTGGATAGGTTGTGACATCATTATTAGTAAGCCAATGAAGAAGAGATGGGAGGTAAATTTGTAATGGTACTAGGGAATAGAAAGCAAAGTGATTATTTAGAGTGTGTCCATGTACCTGTGGGTGCGTGGTCCACCCACTTTGCAAAGTGAAGAATAAAATTAGCATTGTTTTCTCTTGGAAGTTTTGGCTGGTGATTGTTTATATCCAGACTAGACAACGAATCCCACACAAGGCTTGTTTAGTTCCAAAGTTCTTTGTCGATTAAAACTTAAGTAGGTTAAACTTTTATCTCCTCTAATATACATAATTACAGCCACTTTCTGCAGTGCAATGATGTTCCACCTCCCCAAAAGTGGTTTTATTCAGTCCTTAAATTGACAAGTCCAAAAGGCAAAATGGCCGCCTCCTCCCCAAAAATATTTTTTTTAAAAAAATCAGAGCTCACCCCGCTGAGGGTCACGTGTCATGTGCTTCGTGCTTTCTTTCCAAGAAAACAGAAAACTGCCTGTAGTCAACGCGGGAGGCGAACAAGGTGGTTCTCAAAAACCTTTGAACGGTTGCTGATCCCCATCTGTAAAGTGAGAGGCAAAAGCGCCAAGCTCTTCAAATGGGATTGCCCGAGAACAATCAAGCTTGCTTTGAAACCACGCTTATCGGAAACGACCCGAGGCTCGCAGAAAACCTGATACGGCACCTGCGTTAAGAAAAAGGATAAGGAAGGAAGGCTAATGCCTCACCAAGATGTGCGAATTTCTGTCCTGAGCTTCGCCATGCCAGAAAGAACCCACCCACCCCCAAAATAGTATTGTCAAGTGCCCCACTTGGAGGCACGCCGGTTGAGCTTACTAGAGGGAAACGAGCAGATGGCTAGGCTTTGTTTGCGCTTTTGGCGGTGCAAACACTCTGCAAGGGGACGGGCGCGCAGTGGCATTGAAGCGAGGGGAGGGGGGGGGGAAGCAAGAAATATGGGACAACGGAGTGCCAGATGCAGCCAGCTTTCCTCCCGCCCCCTCTCCCATTTTGCCATGATGTGTGACCCTCTTTGGAATGAGATGCAGACCTGAAACGTCAGACGGCTTCTCCAGGGTCCAGACATTTAAGTGGAAACACAATGGAAAAACTGCTGCGCTTCGGAAAGCAGGTGCTAACTGCGTGCCTTGTGCGGCGAAGAGCGCTGGCTTCGTGCGGAGGTGACTGTTAAATAAGAGGGAGGCAGAAGGACACCTCCACCCCGCCATGGGCTACAATGCAAGCTGGGCTTCAGCCAACGCGAGCGAGCGCGGTCCCTTTCAGGCTGTCAAAAGCTCCCTGAACGCATCCAGTACTCAGATCGTGGGAATCAACCGAAGCGCCCACGCGCTCGGGACGTCAGAATACGAGGCATATAGGGAAGAACAAACCTATCGACATTTTACTACCGTTATGCAGGTTGTCATCTTAATAGGTTCTCTGCTAGGTAAGTAAACACGGTTGTAGGGTGGGGTCCCCCAGTGGTCTTGTTTATTCAGGATTTAACTCTTTCAAGGGCTATGGTCTACAGGAGGTAATACACTTAGAAGGAAGATCATTTAGCAGATTTACGATTGCCACCGTTCAATATTATGCTGCTTCTTAGATGACAACATGCTGTGCTTTGGTCATCCGAGATTGCTATCTTCTGCACAGCTGACCTATTTCCAATAAAGGAAATTACCTAGCTGAACTCCGTGCAGGATTGTAGCCTTTTGCACTTTCTGGATAGGGAGTGAGAGATAAGGGTTTGCCTATATTCATTTATAAAACTTTTATCGAGAATTCTAGTTTCTCATAGGAACTCCCTATCAATGCACTACTTCTGCTCCTTGTTTACATTCTGTGCAACTGCAACACTAGAAAAGTTTCCTAGTGGCAAGCCAAGTTGCATAATGATAGTCCTCTGCAGCATCCCATATTATAATGATCACTTGCTCTAGACAGAAAAACCACTATCTCCAATTAGTTCTCTCCTTGGTTGAAGCCAACTCTATTGATCATGCGTTCAGGATTACTACCTTTCTGTAGAAATGTGTGTTTTTCTGTTTGTGTGAATGATATATAAGGTCCCTGGAAAATCTATATGAGGTTTTAAGCTATAATTCCCAGTCCAATCCTGTTGTATGCAGAGATGTGAGAGGTAAAGCTGAAGAATTATGTGGTGTTCATGTTTGGATATTACTTAACTTAATGTTTATTTATTAGAAAGTAAACATAATGAAAAAAAACCCAGGCATTCATCTTACTATGAATTGAGGAACTAATTAAAATAGAAATATTTGAGGATTTTGTTGAATTTCTAACAAAACATAAGCAAAAAGAAAGGCTGTGGGTTCCATTTTTTCAATTGGATATAGTAGAGTTTGATATCTTAATATATGACTTCTAAAATACGCATATTTGATACTAAAATTACTACACCAAGTTTAGTGAGAATCACTACTTATTGATTAGTTGATTGTTGTCTTAGATAACAAATGATTTGATCATTTTACCTCACAGAAGCTGTTAATATAGAGACACTTCTTTTGTCTAAGTCCTGTCAGTAATTCCTGTTTAATTTTTAAAGTAAATTGCTAGATTTGTTTAGACAAAAAGTTCCCCACCTGTATATTTTTTGGAGATACTTGGAATTTACAGCTAAACCCCTGTTTTCTAGGTATTTCTGAAGCTCAAGCAACTGCAATTGTAATTCCCTCTTCATATCCGATGCTTCCTTATTAGATTAAAATATTGTTTCTTCTACTGTTTTGGAAGTACATTTATGAGTCCTAGAGTTCCTAGTTATATTACTATATTATTTTTATTTGTCTGTGATTTTTTAACCTATTAGATATGTTTATCATATTGTCACATTGGGTCTATATAGTGTTATCTCTGTTTCCAAAGAAAGTTTCCTGCTTTGTGATGCTTCCAGGTTTATTTTGCTTGCACTTTTACATACATATGTACCTCCTATAGCTGATATTCTTTGTATCTGCTCTGAACTGAATCCAAGTTAATTTTACATGAGGTTCACTGGCATTTTGTAAAAGATAACTTCTCAGCATTATTCCTTGATTCATAAGTTATAAAAGTATAATAAAATAATTCAGTTTGCAACCATGATAGAAATAAATTAGCAAACTGCAATATGAACTAACTTTGCTGATGAACATATAACCCTGTAATGAATCTCTTTGGAGATTCTCAGTCATCCAAGTCATGGTTCTCCCAAAGATGCTTTTTCAAAAGGAAACTGGACTTCGTTTTTCCTTGAAGACATTTTATTTTTCATCAAGAAGCTTATTCAATTTTGACTGGAGAACTGAAGAAGCTTCTTGGATGACAAGTGAAATGTCTTCAAAAATCTAGTTTCCTTTTGAAAAAGCACCTTTGAGAATGTAATTAATCATTTTTCCAATTCTGTAATACTATGAATGCTAAAATAAAAAAAATAAAAAAGAGAATTTTTCATTGAATATCTTTGAAACGCCATGTATTCTTCCAAAGGTGCTTTTCCAAAAGGCAACTGGACTTTTTGGGGGTTTTTTTCTTTCTTTCTTTGAGAACATTTCACTTCTTTTTCAAGAAGCTTCTTCAGTTCTGTTCATCTGAGGCCTGTGTGTTACCTCTCAGGAGAGCATTCAAGTTTAAGGCCTCTCTACAACATCTACACCAAAGGAACTTTAAACTTTAAATGAATTTTGGGGAATTAAATCTAAGTATCATACACACCACAGTCTCTTCCAAGTAAATATTTTTTCATTAATACACATAATTCAAACAGAATCAAAGAACTAAAATAGTTTCCTTTAGAAGGAGCAACAAATTAATAATTTATAAAGACTTGAGCTGGAGCAAATTAATAATTAAGTATAAAAAACAAAATGAAGAATAAAATGCAAATCAAAGGAAATCCATAAAAGAAAATAAAGGGTAAAATGAAAATCAAATTATTGCAGAATAGAAACAGATAGTGCCATTTATGGCACAAACAGTAATTGTAGACACAGAATTCTCATCCTTCTAAGACTGTAAGCCATTTTGAGGCTGGATATGTAAAATCCCTTCTGCAGTTCCACATGAATGGCTGTGAGCCTTGTTCATTGAGCTTTTATATCATTTTGCCCAGTTGGTGTCTCCCCTACTCTGCACTAAAAGACTTGACACTGGGAATTGATTCTAAGTTATATAAAGAATTATTGACTTATTTACATTGCAGCAGTCCATTCTTAAGACAAATAGGATATGAATAGTCAAATGGCCAGCTATCCGCAAAGGGCCCAGCTGACATACTAGATAGATCTGTGCAATGGCCCTCTTGAACCCAGTTGCCATCTCTTATTCAAATAGGAGCTGTGAGTCCAACACCCCCCCCCACACACACATACACACTGAACACCAATCTTGAATGGGGAAAATTGAGTAATCTGAGACAACTTCAACTTTACATACCATTGAATAGCATCTAAATACATGTATACAGAGGCGATGTTATTAGCAATTAATAAACAAATGGCACACTGTATTGACATAGATTATCTGTGGATGTTGCTTATAATGAAATATGGCTCCCATTTATTGAGTGTGTGTGTGTGTATGAGAAAGAGAGACTATATCTCTGCAAATTCCTATATGTTGTTTCTTACTTTACTTTGTTTCTTTTTCTTCCTCCATAATTTGTACTGTACATTGCTTATTTTGTTTGGTTTTATATTGAAGCAAAATAAACTGAAAAGGACAAATACTGTACAATGAATGTAGAAAGGGCTTCATTTATAAAAACAATTAACAATTAAATGGGGTTAGGATTAATGTGTTTATTCTGAACATGGACATTTTTTCTCTGACATACACAAATGGAAAATGGCTATATGTAAGCCAAGAAGGAATAACATAATCTAAATTAAGATAGGATTCGATAGTCTGTGGGTGCAGCATTATTATATGAAGTAAGTTATTGTCGAAGCATATTGTATGAATTATACATGGGTTTATTTGTTTGGGCATAGCATGTGATGCGAAGCTAGGTGCTAATCTTGTTCAAGAAAAATAGAAAGCAAATTCTGATCAGGTTAGGTCTCTATATCCTGGAGAGAAACTGTTAAGGAAGAGTTAGGAGGGAAAAGAAATTCAGAGCGTTCTTTATCAAATCAGAGTTTGAAGCCCAGGGCAGGTTTCAAACTCTGATTTGATAAAGAATGCTCTGAACAACCTTTCTAAGGGCAGGGGTTACTCTATCCATTCTTTGCTGATAGTAAGATTGGTATAAGTAAAAAAAAACTTTTATGCTGAGCATTGAAAATATGTTTCTGCTGGGGGGGAGTGCATTATATAGGTTGCAGTGTGTCTAGAGAAGCATGCACTGAATGTTTGCAGCCCTTTTGGGCTCTAAGAACAGTTTTATTTGAAAACTAGCTGTTTTAAGCATCTTTAATGCTTAGCATATCTATTTTGCATCATTTTTGGATAAGAATGGACTCACACAAAATTGGTCATTTCCCACAATTTATAGATTGAAAAAATTATCCCAAGGCCCACGGGGACTAAAGAAAGTAAGCCATGTGTAAGCAGTTGAGTTTCCTTCTGACAAAAGCAATGTGCTCAGAGTCAAACAGAAAGAAGAAAACAACAATTTAAATTTGAATTAATGAAAAGAGTTCCGCAGAATTTTAGGTTGCTTGATTTCTTTGAGATCCATTTAACCAAAAATAGACTGCAGGGGGAAAATGGAAAGTGATGTCACAGAGAATAATAAAAGCGTTCGAATGAACATAAAGAGACAATAATGATTCTGGATGCAATTAGTTTTTCCATCTTGTTTTACGCAGTTACTGGCAGGGTAGAAACTGGCAGTCACTGACAGATGCTGGTACTTTTTCATTGCATCAGCCAATGATTTGGTGAAACTATGTGGACAATCATGGTCCTGTCTATGAAACATCTACTGACTTTCATTCTCATGGTATCCTATTTGTTGCTGAAAGCCTTCAGATCCTTTTGTGTACTTCCTAGAATAAAAAAGAAGCTTCAAGCTAAGACATCTGAGTACTGCCAAGGGAAATAGGAGATATCAGTGGTCAGGAATTCAGCATGGTTGGGTTCTCCCATAACAGGTTTCTAGAAGATAAATCAGCTATAGAACATAACCTGTGAAATACATAACTTAAAATTTCCTCATCTAAAACAAAACTCTTATTTTAAGTTCAGCCATATCAATATCTATCTATCTATCTATCTATCTATCTATCTATCTATCTATCTATCTATCTATCTATCTATCTATCTA